AATTAACTAGAATATTTGTTCCTGTGAGGAATGTTATTAAATTTTAAGCTAAATTAAGAATAATCCTTTTTTACATTACTATGTTTATGTAAAGCAAACACAAAATTAATGACAATAGCTTTATAGAGAAATAAAAATTGTATAATGTCAAAGTAAATTTTTACTAAACATATTTATTAAATATAAGATGTATGTGCTATAATAAGGAAATATTTTATACTTTACAAGCTTACTATAATTTTTACTATAAACATGTATTTATTAATACTTGCATATTATATTAATAGTAATAATTCAGAATCAAATAATATAAAATCGATTTTGTAAATAATTGTACAACCAGTTTTAAAATTATTAACCTTAACTTCCTTTACATTTACAGAAAAAACGTATTACTCAACCTTTCAATCTATTAAGAACTGTTTGTTTCATTTCTTTAGAGGAAAAAAGAAACTTCAATTTCTTCAGGAAAAATATCGTCAAGTTTTCTTTGACAGTGTTAGTAATGGAAAATGATAAAATCTGTCAAACTCACATAAATGAGGCCGGAGTAATATCTGTCTTTGAGGTTATGCAGTACGGAAGCTTCATTTAGGCACGTTAACTCAGCCATGTCTTCAACTTTATCGAATTTCGGTGGATTCATTTTCTGAATATCATCTTTCGCGACAAGGACCCGTTTTCCAGTTTCGGCAATCTCCACCTCGACCTCATCACCCCGTTCACCCTTTATCCCGGCTGCTACGAAACCCTGGGTTTCGTGTGGCACCCAAACAAGTTTTTTCTGCGTCCATTCTGCCTGAGTAGCAGGATCATTAAAATTATTTCTGTCAACGGAAAGGAACCGCAATTCGGGATCCGAATGATCCACCCTTGAGTCGATGTCCGCCATTTTTGTTTTCGAGATCACTAGCTCCTCGAGCCGGCTTCAGGGACGAGCGATTCCAAGGACGATCCTCGAGAAACTGACCTCTTCGTAACAAGGACACACATGTAACTATTCAACGCTCGTTTTCCCGTCGTTTTTGAGTGTTTATTGTCCGATGGTGGTTTAGGTAATCTGAGGTTGGAGAGATTTGAACGATTCGTGGTTCGTTCTCCTTCGAGGCACCGTGTTCTTCTACCACCTTTAACGCTCTTCGAGATTGTTTTCTTTCTTGCTCCTCGCGGCCATCTTTTTTGCTCTTTGTGTTAGGAATGATGGTGGGGTCGTGCTTTCAAGGTAGGCTGCTTTGTAGCGCTCATGTCGCTATATGACGCATTTTAATAGAAATCTGATTGGTCCAAAGCTAAATACATTAACCAATCAACTAACTGAAAGTATTTTATATATCGTGAAAAAGAGTATTTAATATTGAAACATAAATGAGACATCTGCACTTATAGTTTATCTATCTCATGATTTTTAATATATATCTATCCGGCGATCCTAACCGTCAAATTACGATAGTGCAGTTGTAAACTTGAGTCACGTTGGCGATACAGAAGTATGATACAAATTAATATTCTGTAATGTAGAGTATAATGACTAAATTTTATTGTTTCAATCAACTTAGAAATATATTTTTATTTTTACAATATTCTTTAAATTCGCTTGTTCCGTTAATTTTTCGTTTTGTTTTATAATTTTTGTTAAAGAATGAACATAATAAACACAATATCGTATAATGTATTTATAGTATTGTTAAGCTGCATAATTAAAACAAAATAGATTGTATGTAATTTTCATCCATACTTAACCATGTATTTATGATAATAAATTAGTGCGTAAAAATGCATTATTGTATATATGTATATAGAATTACAAGAAAATAGGAAAGTGTTTTAATATACATGTAAAAAATATTTTAAACTAGCAATGAATAAGATTACCCGTTAGCTCAACTTGTGTAACACGCGATGTATATATATTTTAAATTATTGAACTAATGGCATGAAGAAAATACATATTACATTTATGCTATATATTTTGCAGCATTATAGTGTTGTCATCGAAATGTTCGCTAATTCAAGAACGTGTCATCACCTTTCTTGGTGTGAAAGAAGTAAAGCACCTGTACTTAATAATTAACAGTATGTTGGAAGAGATAGATCTTTATTTACATGTTTCTATAGTTCTTATACAAAAACGTCATTTAAGAAGTAGGAAGTAAAGTGGATATTTTAGATTTAGCCATAGCTGAGTTTTTTTTATTTTAATTAATATATTACGTATTAATGTTCCTCATATTATTTTCAAAATTATTGCGTTTTTATTTGTCACATATTGCAGTTATGAGTGAAACAAATTGGATTCTAGAAGAGAAGCAAATGTAGATGAAAAATATTTAAATATAAAGTGTAATTCAGTTGAAAAGAAATGACGTTTGAATGTTTATGTAAAAACTAACATTTGAACCAATGTATTGCCGGAAATGGTGACACTTTTTGTGACTGAAACGATGACGTTACTGGGTGACCAGTCTTTGCCGAATCCCTAGAACTAACATAAACGTACAGCGGTGGTTCTATGTGAAATGACCTATGATACCATTTCACATAAAATCAAGACCGCTATGTGTGTGTTAGTCCTAGGGATTCGACATAGATTAATGAGACTAACAATAAATATACATTCTATTGTTATTTTTTCGATGCCATTACCCGTGTGGAGGATCCTATAACGTAAAACCTATTTTCAAACCTTGTCACAGAATGCCTCCTGTGAAATTACACTTACAGTTTAAACGTAAAAATTTATTTCATAAAATTATAATTCTTTCAAGGCATTCACTGTTTCTTCTCACAAAATTTAACTTATAATTACATGTAATGCTTGTATTTTATTAATTATTATTATATTGTAACGTCTCTGAACGCTTTAGGCTTCTTCGCAGGCGGGTACTTGCGAATCTCTCAAATTCACCATCTGAATGGTTCTGACAATAGCCACCAGATGTCTCCTCATTTCTCAAATTTTAAATTTTTTCGTAAGTGCTGGCTCTAGTCTTTATTTCTACAGATCGGTAAAGCAAAGATAAGGCTTATGATGTCATCGCCCCACCAAGTGAGCGCAAAATAGGACACGCAATTCCTTCTACTCTTCGGTCCTACACTGTTACCGCTTGAAGCAAAGTTGCGGTGTAAGTAAATGGTTTAGGCAAACGGTTTCCAGTCAGTTGTCGATAATGAAAGATTAAGAAACTTTAAAGATTACATGGATTATTGATTGAAAAGTATTGCGTGGCAATCACAGAACGTGAGGAAGACTCAGCAGTATTATAAAAACAATCGAGAACTATGACCGTTATCGATATGGAAAGAGAATAGATAAAATGAGAGTAAGCCAGATGCACGTAAGTGCATCAAGTAGCGACGGTTAAGATCTGGTACTTGATAGGGATACTGTCTACGTTTCAATGAATCATCCAATATCAATATTTCAGTTTCTTTAGTTTTTATCTTATTTTTATGAAAATAGTACCGACGAATGGGTGAGATTCTCCCGATGAAAATGAGTCCAAACACGACATAAATGAGAGTAGTTGTATACTAGTCGTCAATTTAAATATCCCGGATTTTCAAGGATGCTTTTAAAAGTGATTATTCTTAAGGCTAATCCGATTTATGTCGTGTTTGAATTAATTTTCATTAGAAGACCCTTACCAATCCAAAAATGGTTACTGATGGATTACTCTTTGAACGCCCGAAATTATCCCTTTGATTTATAATAGACTGCTCATGAGGGGCTCGATTGTCACATTTTCTCCTGTATCTCCCATTTCTAGACCTTAAGGCCCAATTGAAGTCTCATCGATGCTTTACCGATCTGTGATCATATATCAGTTCTAAGTTTTCATAGTCCATGTGTCTGGTGTCGTTTGCATCAACTCCATTGGTGAGTGTAGCAGACGATCCCGAGACGGAAGAAGCCTTTCCCTTTTCTCCTCATCATTTCATGCTCTTTCTCAGCCAATAGTACTGAGATAGGTCAAGGTTCCTTTCCCGTCTTTAATAAAAAATTATTTTTTTACTCTAATAAAAAAAATTCTTTCATTTGCTAACAATGAATTGAATGAAACTGTCTTCTTGAGTCAAGTAGTAGATAGATAAACAATAATGTATATAATGCGTATTATGTAATAATATTATGATGTATGTTTTTAAATTTGAAACTTCATAATTGAAAAAGTGGGTGATTTGTGCAATTGAAATATGTATTACGACGAAATTTCTTCGAATTCAACTGCCTGTTATGGAGAGGTAAACATAACTACATAGAATTTTCTATATGTATGTATATTTTATTTAAAATGTTTTAAATAAATTTTTTTGTAGGTAACAGTCGTTGATTTACGGAGCGACACTATAACAAAACCAACTAAAAGGATGAGGGAAGCAATGTGTAATGCTGAAGTTGGTGATGACGTTTTTGGAGAAGATCCAACAGTAAAAAGTATGAATATATTTATTTAGAGTATTATAGTCAATAATAACATGTGACTTCTTATGCACAAGAATTTAATTCTTTACTTTATATTTTGAAGATTAACAAATATGTAACACAAATTTAATTTATCACGTTAATTATTTTATAAAATATTTATAAAATGATATGTGGTATTTATTGGTACCTGATGTGATAAATTTGACATAATACTTTATATTAAGTCTTTTATGTATATTTTATGAAGAAATCAATGATTTTTAGAATTAGAAGAAGCAGCTGCCAAAATGGTTGGAATGGAAGCTGCAATATTTGTTTGTTCTGGAACTATGGGAAATTTAATTGCAAGTAGGTATGGGCTATATCTAGAATAAGTCAAAATTAAGTTTAAACAAACTTTCATTTAAGGTGAATGTACTGTACTGAGCTGAGAAAATGACTAGGCACAGTGTTTTGCATTTTCACTCTGCTAGCTCCCCTACCATCACACGTATTGTCACTATTGTCAGAAGACAGTGATGGAGACAATGCGTGTGATGCTACGGGAGCTAGTAGAGTGAGAACACAAAACACTATGCCTACTCATCTTCTCAGTGCAGTACTATACTAACTTCATTAATATTGCTAAGAGCATAAGGAAATACTAATTTATAAATGCTTGTATTAATTAAATTTTTTATCCATTTAGTTAAATTCAAATTTTAGCCATCATAGCAATGAGATGTAAAATATCTTTTTTAAAGGTATAAGTAGAACTATACATTAAGTACTTTATGAAGTTCATACAAATTTCATAACTTCAAAACAGTGGAATATAATACTATCATTTCATTGATCTTATTTGTTTATGATCATTAGACTGTGGATGTTTATGAGACTTGGAACTTGGATAAAGATGTGGGACTTGGATAGAAGTTTATTACATCATTCATATATACCGAAAATGTATTTTTTATTTTGCATATTTCGCTTAAATGACATATGCACTAATTTTATTGCATATTCCATACATATGTAACAGCATATGCATTTCACTGTGTATATATCGGAAAATACGTTTTATCCATCATTGAGCTCTTACACAATAACATTTGTAAGTATCTAAATAGTGTATTGATATGCAATAGTAATCTAAGGTCACATACATTCCCAAGTTATCCTTGGGAAACATAAACACAATACTGAATGTACGGCATAGCGTGATTCGCAATCAGTAAAGTGACAACATAATGTGAATTGTACCCGTCAGAATTAGTGAAGTTCTCGAGATAAAATTTAAAACGTTGTCGTACGATTTTTGGAAAGAAAGGATTTTCTTTGGTATCTGGGAAAAACACACAAAAGTTTATTTATCTTTCGTCGATACATATTATATGTTTGATACAGAATAATCTCGAACAAATCAATGCAGTGTTCAAGCTGTCGCTTTCGCTTTCGGGCGTCCGGCTTTAAGCAGCCGTACTCTCCCGTTACAACATTAAGAAAACGGATAAAATGATTTATAACAATTACTGTGGGAAGGCGTCCGGGTAGTCACCTGTACTCTACTCTCTGGAAGGCGACCGGCGAATAGTCCAGCCGTTCTCTCCATTCCAGAAGCGACTCAGGTATAGCTCCCGTACTCTTCTACTACAATATTAAGTGATACGCGTATGATCGGAGAGTCCACCCGCACTTCTCCTGGTAAGCGACCGGCGGATAGTCCAGCCGTTCTCTCCATACCAACAGAAGTACTAAGCAATCCTCTCCGAGCTTCCTCAGGCATCTGTGTAACCTCCCTGTACTCTCCTCTTTAAGAGGCGACCAGCGGATAGTCCAGCCGTTCTCTTCTCTAAAAAGTGACCCAGGTGTCAGTCCCCGTACTCTCCTGTGCTGTAAGGGCGTCCGAAAGCTAGGCTTTGTACTGTCCCACTCTGAAGGGCGACCGATGGTAATACCTCGTTCTCTCCCAGCAGAGTACAGCAAGAATGCCTGGCCACTTTCAGTGCCTTGCTGACTTCAGTTTGTTTTTGCTCGCCTCCGTAGTCGGAGGTTCCAGGATTTTGGGATTCTTCTTGTTTTCCAAGGTTAGGTGACCTGGTGAGGTCTGGGCTGCTGCGTGTGTTTTTGTTCCTCTGCTCGTAGTGTGAATGATGTTCTTGTTCTGAAGGTTGTTTGTTCTTCCTCTTTCGGCGGTGTGTTTATGTTAGATTTTTGTTAGATTTTTGTTAGATTTTTGTGCTGTTCTTGTTTCACGACCTTTAGTGCGTGCTGCTCCGTGGTCGGTCAAGGACGTACTCAATGACGATGATGTTTCTCAAATCGAATAATTGAAGTAATTTGTTCTAGATTCTTCAATTTATAATAACGAAGCGATATGCGATTGAAATCAATGATGATCGAATGATCAGGAATGACTGAATGATGCCTGGCCGTGATATTTATATTTTATCGTTGCTAATGCAGCGCGGCTTATTAACAAATCGTGTCGCTAAGTGGCTTTCCGCATATTTCCTGCATATTTACTTACATATTTCTTCAATATTTGTTACATATTTTGATATATTTTACTTGCATAAACATCCGCAATCTAATGATCACCATTATGATAGTAATGTTGAAATTTTTTTCTATGATGATTTTTACTTGATTTATTTTTGTGTTATCTTGCAGAATTCTTAGTTATTTTATTTGATACTTACTTTTAAAAATCTACAAACCTTTTCCATCTTGCTGTAAGATCTTGCTATGTAAACATGTATTAGTAATGGTTTTATAGATGATCATCATCTGTGATAATGAAGACACTATTATTGTGGTTGTCCTTCAAGTATTTTATCTCTTGTCTTAAATATTTTGAATTATTGTTGAACAATATATTGCACATACATCCCACGCTAAATTTTCCATTCAGATTGTGCAATGCTTTCATATTTTTACATCAACTGTCTAAAAAAAACAAAATTTATAATGAAACAAAAAGTTTTGTTTTCTTTTGTATTACATTTTAAATGTTACACATTCTTTTTGATAATGATGAATACTTTTATAGATGCATACATTTTATAAGTAAAATAATATACTACAAGTAAAATTGTTAGTATCATCAATGTACATATGACATTAATTTTTAATACATTATTTAAACAAATAGATTTTCCTAGCTTACCATAGGTAAATTGTATATGATAATATTGTTAAAAGACGCAATTTCTACATTAAAATTTTTTTTTTTAATTTAATAATTTGAAAATATTT